AGTCGTAGGCAGTACCATTAGTATATTTAAAATTAACCACCAACCGCTGAAAATATGAATTATCGCGTATTTCAGTTGTTCATTACATGCCAAGTAAAATTTGAGAATGTAATTTCATTTGAATAGCTTGTTCAACCAAGTCTTAAGCAATCGTCACGTCGGTCATAGCTTGTTATGATTACCTGAACCATGCGTAAAGAGAAAATCGAAACACTTAACGTCGCGTGAAAATGGATCTTAATGAAGGCCTCTTTCGTAGCTTTTAGTTTAAGGATTTCAAAAATCGTCGGTTGCAGTGGCTTGCTTACTGAGCAGAAAACGCGGTGCCAGATCCTTTCATATTAAAAATGTATGGTTAGATCGCTTGTTTATCGTGTATTTCGTAAAACTTTTTTTTCGTTGTCGTCGGTACCGGGTCTGAATAGTCATAAAAACTTGAGTAACGCTATAATGTGATATGAGGGGCTCGGTGGCCTTAGAGCAACCGGTTTTGCTTACTGAGCAGAACATCATGAGTCTTATCTCAAGCCCATCCACATTGAAGATTCGTCAATCGTTTTATTTGTTAACATTACTACATGGTAATAACAGCAACTCTATGATAAAAAAAGGAGCTCGTCTGCCTAGTGGCAAACGTTTTTGCTTACTGAGCAGAAGACCGTGGGTTCAATCCCAAGCTCCTTCGCGTTATATGATTGTTAGGACATCAATTCAGCTTATCGTTTACCAAAACGAACCCTGCTGCAAACCCAACCCTATTACCCAATATCCCAGTGATTCCTCGTGGAAGTGCAGAGGTGTTCTCGGCTTCCATCAAAGCGAGTGTCACGTCAACACATTCCTACCCCTTCCTTTCTTGACCTGTGTTCGGGCGCGGCCGGCGCTGGTATTGTCTAGTTTGAGATCACCAGTTTTTACACATTGAGGATGATTGCTAGTCCCAAACATCGTCTAAATATTGGTTCTCTGTGTAATTACAGCTGGTCTGGCAATAACAGAGTAGCAACCGTGGGCGGTCAATCATGCTCATGCTCATGCTCAAAACTGAGCTCCTCCACTATCTCTTGGGTTTGTTTTTGTTTGTATCCTCCGTTCTACTTCTCCACGAATCGATGTAAACAATCAACGACGGTCCTACCTCTGTAGACCGGTGACGCATACATCTCGCTTCTCACATCTCACTTCACGGCAGGCCGGTCGCGAGTACAGCTGAAGCCCAGTGGTGTCAACAGTATCTATACCCTTCTTTGTAAGGAGGTTTAAATCGAGGGGGGTGGCACATCTAGATTTTCTCCTTTTCACTAAAAATCACGCTAATTATTTATTTATCTACTCACCGTGCACTATCTGTTTCCATCTGTGACATCTAATTTCATCGACTCTCGCATCTTTCATCTTTCTTAACATCGTCCGCATTTTCTCGTGAAAGAATCTATCGCCGAGTGAACAAAAACAGTAAATGTCAGCAATCCAATGTTGTTTGTTTACATTTGGTTGCTAGTTGATGGCAAATTGAACAAGTTCAAAATCAGAATTCTGAATGTTTCGTAAATCAAAATCCGTTCGGTGGATGAACTGGTGACATCGAACGATGGTTCAATCGGAAAGATTTTAGATAGTAAGTTTTCAAGCTACGATGGATTACTTTTATTTTAATTATTTTTTATATTGTCAAGACGTTCGGTTCACAGATGGCGATTACACTTCAGCTTTTGCCGAAATGAATAATTCCTTTATAAAGCCGTGACTATTATCGGGATCTATCGTGCTTCAAACACTTACGGGACGATATCTACATATTGTCTTCCCGGAAGGGAATCGCTTGGAAAGCTTAGAGGGTCCAACATTTCGAACGGAACGGATTTTTACCATTTCAACTCATTACAGGTTTGTTTCAATTATTTGTTCCGAAGATCAAAAACGTATCCGTACAGTTTTTTTTCAGATCAAGAAAAATAGATCCGGACATTTTAGCTGTTTTTGATTTATATCCAATAGCTGTTTTAGTGATTAGGCAGTTAGGATACCAGATTTGACCCTGACAGAAATTAACCTGTTCCACGCGGCTTGGAAAGTGCAGCTGAATTGAAAATTACCGAATTGCATTCAAATCCGAACCGAATTGCAAAGAAGTCATCCTGGAATGCTGATTAATACTATTCCTCCTAAGCATCTGCTACTTTATCAACCGGTCAGTGTTTAGATTGGCCTTATTGATGGTAATACTTTCTAATTTATATACGGTGCGTGCGTGAAACCACATTTGCTCACTATTGGTAGCATTTTTCGTAAATATCACCATTTTAACCCACCCACAAAGTATTGTTTGACTATCCGATGCGCAAATTGGACTGTTTCAAGTAGTTGTGAAGAGTGCTCTGTGACCTTTGGCAGCGTGCCTCTCCATCCCTAATGGGTACAGGAAGAAGATTTTCTTCATTCTGTTCAAAAGGGTACGGCAGGAGGCAGTTTTCGAATGCATCACCTGTACTCTTTTGCTAAGGAGGAAACAGTAAGTTCAAGTTACACTATATAATTATAATTTCTACAGGTGGGTGTAGATTATAATTTGTATTTTTTACTGATGGATAGCATGATTCTTGATATTTTTTTCAGTCAACTTCGAGTTTGTGACCACGTATAAGAGATGCCAACAAACGCATCGATAAATGTTAATGCTGCCGATTTATTAACAAAAAAGAAAATCGATTAAAAGGATCGATCATCGAAGTTAAGCGCTTATGATTCTGAACTCTAGATTTTATCCATTATTCAACAAAATCCTCGAAAAAATCTAAAAAATTGTTTTGAAATGCTGAAAAACACGAGCACTATTGACAAAACTGGCCCTTCGTGTAAAAAATACTTGCAACCTACAAACAATAACGATTAGGTTCATTCGAGAATCGAGGTGATAACAGTTATGTTTATCTTACGTGTAATTTAGTTCATAATGAATATTCTTATACCTATAATTTTTTTTACATTCATCTTTAATCAACTTAAAAATAAGCGTCATCCTTTGACCATAATACACCATGATTTTATTTCATAAAGTATCCGTTTCCGAAAGTTGTCATCTGAATAAATTGTTAAGTTTTGATGTATGTGAGGCTTCCAAATTGTCCACTGGTTCTAATTCGTACGTCTTCTGTTCTTCTATAACTTCGCCATCGAAACACCGTCTTCATTGCAGTTCTCCAACAAATCCCACAAATACTGATCAGAAATCTATAGAAAAAGTTTAAGGCTTCATCGGATGAACTTTACGATGCCTTCCAATCTGCCGGAATTTTGGAGTTGTTCTACTCGCTTTGGTTATATAACTTCCAAAACTCCTAATCATCGAGCTTGTCGTGATGCTTATAACTTCGTAAATAGTAAGCCAGCTCCACTCGGAATTACCTTCGATATCAGTTAGTACCGCCTGCTGGTTGGAGTTCTGAACGTCAGTCATTGTAGTTACTGTTAATACAAATTTTTGTTTGGGACTGGAATGTCTAACATGCGTCGGCATATGTTTCGTCTTGGGTGGATTTCGTCTGCGAATCATTGGAAGTTTCCCAATCGGTCTTAAACTATTCTTTCATGTCTGTACACTGAGTCCTGATTCATGATATGGTGCTACAGTGGTTCGTTTCTAAAATTAAATCCACTATTAATCAAAACGACAAAAACGGTTCCGAAAATAGATTTACCTGACAGTTTTTTTGATACTCGCCGGTCGTGAATATTTAATTGCAAATCCTTCTTAAAATATTAAAATGACGCATCTTCGGAGGTGGTAGGATAGGAATGTCGTAGTTGTTGTCTTCGATTCGAGCCAGGATTATTTTCGTCGACTTTGAGGATATACGGATGATTGAAGGTACTGGTTGAAAAAAGACGAAGAGTTTGACGGTTAATAAGAATGAACTTACCGGGCAGTATTTGGGTCATCCTTTGATAAGCTAGGGGAAGTTACGGAGAGACACTGATCTCAATCGTAGTCGTCAATGAAGTCCGCTACCTTGATGTGTTCGGTCAGACGTTTCTTCAATGTATTCTCCTTGATCGGAAGTCTTTTTAGTTCTTGATTTACATATAAAAGCAATGTTGAAATGGAGAAAGAACATTTCCATCATCTTTACCTTGGTGATCGTACGGACAAAGTTGATGTTGATAATCTTGGTTTCGGTATGAGAATGCGCTGAATCGGTTTCCAGATGATGGGATGTAGTGCTGATGGCTTCTCAATTGGCTCGCCATAGTAGCTGCAACGTCAACATAAAGAATTTGTTGCAATGAAAAACAGGAAAATTTACAACTTTCGCGTCAATAAAAAAAACTACTTACCTAAGCAGCCCCACCTACTACGTGAACCACCACGTTTTGAAGCAAATGAAAAAATAAATACCTACACGCACGTTTACTTTTTACTAGGAATCCTATCCGTAGTGTTTGCAGCTATTTCCATCGACTTCAATCTACTGTAGCATCGAAGAAATCTCGATGAACATTTCAATTGGTCCTATCTGCTTTGATCGATTCTCTTCATCGACTTTCTCTTTCGTTAATAACTCAGCTGCAAAACCTTTCCCTGTTTTATTTGACGTTTTGGACGCTAGATAAGAACCTCCTTTATCAAACTATGTGGTAGAATTAACGCGAAATCTGTTTGCATAGCAGTGGTTATGAAAAGAGAAAGTGAAATGTTAATCGAGAAATGCTCGAGCGAATAGTAGGAAATCAAATCCAACAAAAGTACACTGAGCTAAAAAATCAGATGCACATCGTGCGTAATCTAAATGGAATTTTAGATGTGTCGCCCCCCTCGGCTTAAATCAATAATTGTGATACAAGCGTTCACAACAATATGGAAAACATTGACCTCACTTATTGATCGGCATAGAGCTCCAAAACCGGTAGAAATTCCAAATTCCTAATACCAACATGCATTGATTATTTCGAGGCGTATTCTTATAGTAATTTAAAGTTGAAAGTTTAATCGATATTTTTCCTCTATTTTGTATTATTATATTACGAAATACTCTTACATTACAAATAAGATTCCATTCTGCGGTAGTGAAATTGGGCAGCTAATTAAGCCACTAACCAAACTTCACTGAGTACTTTAAACCTATGCTTAGGTTCGTCACAATGTTTACTTCTTCTTTTTCTTTCCGGCGTAGGTGTCCACTGGAACTGGTGCATTGTGCACTTTTTGGGAAATTTTATTAATATAGTAGAGAGCAGCGACGGAAAACAAGACACTGAAAGTGAAGAAACAGTTCACACGATTGGTACTTTCGAATAAGAATATAATAGATATCTTACCAAGTGGTGGCACAAACACGGTGAACCATACCGCAGGCAAACAGCGATCCGATCAAGCAGAAAGCTACCTCCGGGAACAGCTTTGCCTGGAATCCTTTACCGAGAACGACTGCCTCCAGGTTGGAAACGGCCTGGAATCGAGAGATTTCCGATTGAACTTTAAGCAAATGTAAAGCAAGAAAATACTCACCGTCAGCGATAGAATGAACAACCACGATCCCAGGTATCCTCCGAAGATTGTCGCTATTTGTGACGATGCAATCAGAGGTTTGTACATTTGCATCGCCGAGAAAATCAGTACTGCTGTGACCGAAGCCAGTACCAGTGAAACCGAGGTTGGAACGGCTGTGCAATCGGAAGAAGACAAAATTTGGCATGAATTTCCAGCACACTAAAAGCCGGCTTCTTGCAAAACTATAGTTATCATGATGTGATTGAATTTCTCACAGGAAAATCAATCCACCCTGAAAACTTACCCATGATTTCGAATGTGGTGATATTTCTATCAGATTTAAATGCAATTTAACAGTATTTTATCGCTATTCTTAATTGTAATGGAAAATTTACCGATAGTCAAAACATTGAAAAAATACAATTTGCTTGACGTGGACTAAACGTCTACCAGCGAGTGTCACTGGTATTGGAGCTGGGTACGGATAACTCATCAGTGGGTGCAACTTGAATGCAGTGACATCAACTACCCAAGGCACGAACCTGCATGGCAAAAATATATGTACTCAGAACAGATTGAATTAAATGACTTGAGAATAATTTTATGATTTAATTAAGGTGCCTTAGTATAAAAATGAAAACAATTAATTATTCCTGAAACACCTAAACTTATTTTTTATGCAATGTCTTGGTCCATCAGAAATTATTGCAGTTCGCCATTTTTGTTAAGGTACACTCACAGCTTCACTTCAACCCACCGAAGACTCGATGGTGTGTGTTATCAATTCCGTCAAATGCATTTGAAAACAATCTCAGCCTCGTGTGCAGCAGTGTGCGTGCCAGAGTTATCACACGAAACGTCAAGTGGCATTTTTCTCCTGTCTGTTCAAGTCCGACTACATTCAGGTGAAAAGGCAGAGTGAAAACCAAAACATTGTCGCGACCTGGTGGCACAGCAATTTTTTTCCTCAAATTTCTTCCTTATCTAGTTTGAACGAGTGTCCGAAAATATGATTCCCAGAAAGTGAAACGTACCGTGCGGGAGATTCCGTTTGTTTCATGTTTCTCTGCAGGAAGTTTAACGAGATCGATAAAATGTTGGGAAGACTGTCGGAAGTTCTGCAGAGTGCAGCTGATGTGGTAAGTGCCGTGCCGAGAAGATTGCAGTATTTCTTCCATTTCAGGATGCGTCATTGCCTCGTCGCCAATCGCATGATAAAAATGTTGCGAAGCTGCATTGCTAATAATTGGCACAAAGTGAGCCGGCGAGAATAATTGAGGAACAGCCCCCGAAACAGGTGTGCCTCTTCAGTGGTGCGACTGTACTATGTGTGTTTATGGTTCACGCTTTGCCAAAGTGCGATTATGTAATGGAGTGTATCGATGTTATGGTTTAAAATGCATGCTTTTGTTTACAATTTGCAAGGGAGGAAAATTGAGGTGGAATTTCAATATTGGTAAAGGAAAAAACAACGATTAATCTCTTTTTCAGTTGTTAATCAAAATGTGTATTCAGATATTGAACTTAATAAACATTTAAAGAGGCTTATCAAGTCAGAATATTTTCATTTTAGAACATGTTCAAGAAGATTTAAAATCAATTCACATTAGGTTAAACAAAATGTATGCGGCTGTAAGATGAAAGTTTTATATATGGTTGGACGGATCCCAACAAACAATTTTAGCTGCAGCTTAGCTTATACAGGCAAAAAATAGCTGCATAAGGCAAACTTTGGCTGTATAAGCTAATCTGCAGCTAAAATTGTTTGTTGGGATATCCTGAAATTTGATTGGTGTTAATCCACCACTAATCTCTTCGAAAAAATTAGATCGATTGATTAGAAAACAGCCGACGGTGCGTAGAATCTATTTCCTTAGAGCACCGCCACAGGAGTCTCTAAAACGCTGTACAGACTGGAGAGTAATAACATGTTATAACGGTTGTCAAATAATTGCAACACAGAAACCACCACCATGATAGCGCTATAACATGTTATAACTCTGTAGTCTGAACGTACTATAATCAACCCAAGTAACATTTTAAGTTTTATGAAATACTACAAAGCAACTGTAAAACAACATTCATAAAACCCTGGTCAAGGCTATTTTGTCATTAATGCATCCACCAAAACCTCATTAAGACTAGAATATGTCTAGTTGGCCCACCCTGGAGAAGGTCCTGAAGGGTGTATTCTCGAAGCTTTTCAAAATTCATTTACTTCAAAAGGCTGTATGACGAACGCATTGAGAACCATTTGAAAGCTACACAGCAAAAAAATAATTTTGATATCACGTCAAAGTGGATGCACTACAATCATGTCGAAAATATGGTGTAATATTACTTGCTAAAAAGGACAAAATTATCATTAATACAATGCATGAACTGACATTACGCTGCTTTTACTGCATTTGTTTATTTATATGGTCATAAAAATTACATGAAATTTTCGACATGATTGTAGTGCATCCACTTTGATGTGATATCAAAATTATTTTTTTGCTGTGTACAACAAAAGCTATTTAGCAACAATAAAAACCCTTTCCGAGCCATTTCCCCTAGCCGCTTGCTAAATCCACTAGGAAAGAATTAATCAAGATAGAAAAGGATTTATGAATCGGATCTTATCAAAATAATTAAAATAGAAACTGATGGTATAAAAATCTTGTTGAATATTCAAATTTATCACAATAGTTCTCATTAAGTGGCCTAGTTTTAGGTGCCTTATTAAATGTTATGCGAAATGTACGTGAAAACATCGAAAAAAAATACGTCCGCCCTCGTAAAACGTCGATTTGACTAATTATTTTACAATGAAAAAAAAATTATTCTTCAGATCGAGGTAGGCCGAGTTTTTTTTTATGATTTTCGCATTTAAATGTTTGCTCATTGCTAAATTTTGTTGAAGAATTCGTCGCCAGGCTACACAGAGGACAATTCCGTCGAAGCGGACAAACGATCGGAGGAAACTTCGAGACTCGCGTCACCGTGGAAGAGAATAAAAGAAAACCGATCTACAAACTACGTGTGCTTTATTCGATAGCATAACTTGGAATGGAACAGAAACACTTTACGCGCGTAACTTCTTCGCCGTTTAATGGCACCGGTCAACAACTTATGTTTTCTCTCTCGTGCAGTGTTGCCATAAAGCAGATATCGCCAATCTCACTTCGCCAATACTCCTCCTCGATATGTTCTTTATCCATCGCCTTCCTTAGTCTGCAACCACCAATCCAACAGCTTCCGAAAATCTCTGCAACTTGATGTTCCCCAGCGGCTATGTTAACATATCCGCCTTCATTTCTTCCGAGCTGCAGTATTGAAGTTCAATGACACCTTTCTCTACCAGATCCTTCGCAAAATGGATGCGAGTATCTATGTGCTTCGATCAACGCGACACATGGTCAGTTTGAGCGAAGTCGCCTCTGGTTGATGCGCCTGAAAATCGTCCAACAGTCGTCGTAGCCAAAGTAATTCCTTACACGCCTCCGACAATGCTGCGTATTCCGCTTCCATGCTTGAAAGGGCAACGCTAGTTTGTTTGCGGCTTACCCAACACACTGTAGCGGCCCCTAGCTGGAACAAATAGCCTGTAGTCGATTTCCTGTCTGCGACATCTCCACTCCAATCAGAGTCGCAGTATCCGTGCAGCGTAACTGGATCCTTTCTCCCACTTGTCAGCTTCCGCTTGTACTTGCTCGTCTTCATCATATATCGCACGACTCGCTTGAGTTCATTCCAGTCCACTTCTGTTGGTTCACTGGTCTGCCTACTGAAGATCGTCACGCTTGCTGTTATGTCCGGGCGGGTATTGAGTCCTATGTACAACAGCGCACCGAGCAGGCTGCGGTAGCGATTGTTGTTTGGCAGCTTGTCACTTCCCTCGCGGTTTTTGTAGTAACCTACGTCGAGCGGATACTTTGAGCCCTTGGCATGCTCTAAGCAAAATTGTGCTGCTACCTTCCTGATGTAAGCCTGCTGGTCTAGACTAAAGAATCCATCCTCGTCTCTAAAGGGTGATACGGTCAAAATTTGGTCAATGGAAAACGCGTGTAAATCGGTGAAATCGTTTATTTAAAAAATCAAATTTAATTTCTTTTTCAAGTTCAATTAGTATAAAATTCAGGAAAAATATTCAGTTAGGCTTCCGCTTTTCCAAATCCGAATTGCCGGGCCTTACGCTTGACCCCTGCCATCAGATTTTGTACAGCCACCTTGTCCACCTTCTTCGCCGCAGAAAGCCAGTTTGCCTTGAACTGCTGCTCGCCCTTAGCAGTTTTTTTGGTCTTCTTTAGGTTCCGCTTGACAATAGCCCAGTATTTCTCAATTGGGCGGAGCTCTGGTGTGTTGGGAGGGTTCTTGTCCTTGTGAACCACCTGCACGTTGTTGGCGGCGTACCACTCCATGGCCTTTTTACCGTAATGGCAAGATGCCAAATCCGGCCAAAACAGTACGGAACAACCGTGTTTCTTCAGGAAAGGCAGCAGACGTTTATTCAAACACTCTTTCACGTAAATTTCTTGGTTGACAGTCCCGGAAGCTATGAAAATGCTGCTTTTCAAGCCACAGATATTTCTATACGAACTTTGACAGTTTCATGTGCTTGAAAACATCTGCTACCTTTCCCCTTCCTTTTGCCGTATAAAACTCCTGTCCCGGAAGCTGCTTGTAGTCGGCTTTGACGTAGGTTTCGTCGTCCATTACCACGCAGTCAAACTTCGTCAGCATCGTCGTGTACAGCCTCCGGGATCGCGCTTTGGCCGTCGTATTTTGTTTATCATCGCGATTTGGAGTCACTACCTTCTTGTAAGTCGATAGTCCGGCTCGTTTTTTGGCTCGATGCACGGTTGTAGACGATACACCCAGCTTATTTGCGGCATCTCGGAGAGAGAGGTTAGGGTTTCGCTTGAAACTACCGGCAACTCTCTTTGTCGTCTCAGCGGCTTCCGGTTTTCGATTTCCCCCCGATCCAGACTTCCTGGCTGTCGACAAACGTTCCCCAAACACTTTAATTACATTTGTAACGGTTGATTTGGCAACTTTTAGCGATTTTGCCAACTTTGCGTGCGAGTAGCTCGGATTTTCGCGATGCGCGAGCAAAATTTTGATACGCTGCTCTTCTTGCTTGGACGGCATTTTGACAACTGAAGAGTGAATTCCAAAATCAAAATAGGAGCAACATTCTACACACACACACCTTCAAAATGAGGGGTGTTCAGGTTTTTTAAATGCAAAATTGAAAGAAATACGTCAAGTTGATATTGACCAAATTTCGACCGTATCACCCTTTAGTTACTCGCATACCCAAAAAAAACATTATCTCCCTCAATAAAGTCAACTCAATGTTCTTCTTGAGGGCTGTCTCCAGTCTGGTGATCTCTCGAACGTCCGTGCTGGCGACGACCATATCGTCAACGTATATTATCAGGTACGTTCGTACTCCATCAGCTGTCACTATGGTGTACAAACATGGGTCAGTCTTTGATTGCGTGAACCCATAGGCGATCAGCAATCCGTGAATCATGTCATTCCAGACACGCGCACTCTGTTTCAGACCATATAAACTTATTTCCAGCTTACAAACTTTCTTCTCATTGCCACGCTGCACGAAACCCGGCGGCTGCTGCATGTAAATTTCTTCGGCTAACTTACCATGCAGGTACGCGGACTTAACATCCAAGTGATGCACCGTCATGTGCGTGTGGTCCTCTACTGACAGCAAGACTCTCAACGTTGTTTGACTCGCCACTGGTGAAAATACCTCACTATAGTCGACGCCGTACTGCAGCGTATATCCCTGCGCGACTAGACGTGCCTTAAAACGGGTAACATTTCCCTCACTGTCCTCTTTGCGGCGATAAACCCACTTACAACCGATTGGTTTACGCCCGGCCGGTAGATCCACTAGCTTCCACGTCTTATTCCTGATCAACGATTCGAATTCTTCACGCATAGCTTCTATCCACAAATCATGTTCGGGACCGGCGACCGCCTCATTGTAGCTGGTCGGTTCTGCTTCAACAGCCATCGCAATATCCACCACGTAAAGCGTTGAGCCGTGGCGGCAAGATTCCCCGGGTAGAGCGCTTCCCGGCACCACTGCTTCCACTAGTGGCTTGCTCTTCTTCTGCTTCGGCGTTGC